TGCCAGAACTTAGCAATTGCTTCCTAGCACATGCACATGCTGTGTCTATGCGATCTTGGACCTGCCGGGTGTACTCTGAGCCTGCTGGTTCTGGTAGGGTGTCTGGGGGTGACCTACAGCTAGTTCTGCAGGGGTCCTGATTTTCCTCACCATGCTGCTTGGATGTAAGAATAGCTAGCCGCTCTTCCAGAATGCAGTTCAACCTTTTCACCAACCCATCACCATGGGGGTGGGTGAGGTGGTGCGGGTCTGCCAATACCCAGCCACTCACACACGGCAGTGAACACCCTGGATTTGAATTTGTGCCTTTATTCACTATGGATGGACTGAGGAAACCCATACCTACTGAACATCCCCTCAATGGATGACAGTCAGCATAGGCCTCTGGCCATTTGGTGAAATAATCCATGACAGACAAACACAATACAGTCAATGTCTCCCAGCAGTGTGTGGAAATGGCCCTACTATGTCAACTCCAACCCATTGCATGTGCTTGCTCACTGGAAACTACTGCAACTGGGCTCAGGACTGCCCTTGGGGTCCTTTGCATGCAGTACACAAGTCACACCCTCTGCAAAAGTCCTCTACATCCCGCCTCAGCTATCCTCAGTAAAAACTGTTAAAGAGGGTGAAGAGTTTTCTTGACTCCAAAGTGACCAGGCACTGCTGAGCCATGCATGGCTTTTGAAACTTCCTCCTGCATCCCTCGAGGCATGACTATCTGCCATCTCTTCTCCCCAGTCACTGGCTCAGTCCCTTGTATGGAGACAGGATCGCCACCACCTCCCAGTGGGGCCATTATTGTGCCCTTAATGACTGTGTCACTGGCTGCAAGTCTGGGTCCCGCATTTGTTGGTCAGCCCACTCATTGCTGTCCATCTCTCGTAGTACAGCAAAGCTTTGTATGGTTGCCTCGCATGCCACCTCAACCTGTACGCCCTCACCTTGTTTCAGCTCCTGCTCTCTGGCTTCTTGGTGCTCACTGGACTTGCATGTGTGTTCACTACATGGGCGACAGGATAGGGCATCAGTTTTACCATGCTGTTCGCCCGCACGGTGGGGTATAGTGAATTCGTAGGTCTGTAGCTCTTCTAGCCTATGGGCCACCTGCCCCTAAGGCTTACAGAAGGTCATCAGCCACTGCAAGGAAGCAAAGCCTGGGAGCAGTGTGAGAATCATCATCTTTGATTTCTCCAGTGTTTTTAACACCATACAGCCTAGGCTCCTAAGGAACAAGCTGGAGAACACAGGGGTGGATCACCACCTATCAAATTGGATTCTGGACTACCTCAAAAACTGACCACAGTATGTGAGGGCACAGGACTGTGTGTCTGACATAGTGGTCAGTAGCACAGGGGGCCCCTCAGGGAACAGTCCTGGCACCGTTCCTCTTCACCCTGTACAACACAGACTTTATGTACAGCTCACCAAACTCCATCTACAGGCGTGTATTCCCTCCACCAGAGAACATCCAGGGAATGGACACAGAGAGCGGACTACAGGTACCTGGGATATTACCTCAACAATAGACTGGACCGGTCAGATAACACAAGTGCACTTATAATACACTTAGAGTCTGCTCTGGCCTTACCTATCTGCTTAGGAGACTGAGGTCGTTTGGAGTGAAGGGGGCGCTCATGAGAACCTTTTTCGACACCGTGATGGCATCAGCCATCTTTTATGGAGTGGTCCGCTGGGGTAGCAGCATCTCAACTGCGGACAGGAAGAGACTTGATTGACTCATTAAGAAGGCTAGCTCTGTCCTGGGAAGCCCCTTAGACCCAGTGCAGGTGGTGGGAGACAGGAGGATGTTAGCCGGACTAGCAAATATGGATCCCAGCCATCAAACTGATCAAAGGCAGTGAAAGTCTATGCAGCACCCACTTCATATCTGAATGTAGTGTTTTTTTTTAAGGGTGATCGGCTATCAACACATCCGAGCTGTGGTTATGATACTGATAGCATTTTCTGACGAGACTGAAGTCGGCTTCTTATTCACCTGCTTCTTGTTCATTTTTGTTCATACTTATTCACCTGCTTCTTGTTCATAAGATTGGACATTTCGACAAGGTCAGACAATTCATCAGCACACCAGTACATTTCTGGTTGCTAACCTTAGCTAGTGAGGCAATAAATAAGTTAGCACTGTGTGTGTTTCATATCAATGATAGCTAAACTAAATAATATTGGTTTTGTTCAGTAGGTCATTTTCTAACTAACTGGCCAGATAAACAGTTTATTTAGCTCAGCGACACTAGCAGTGCCACCATGATCCTGATATTGTCAGATAAAGAAAAGAATAGACAGACTCAACAGACAACTAAACCAGGTAAGTTGGGTAAAATTCCTAGGCTATGTCAGTAAGCTATAAAGTTTTCTGTGATTTGGGTAAGTCCCTTTAGCTAAACATTTAGTGAATAGCAAACTCGGGGCATTGATGACGAGTGATAGTCAGCTATTGTTAGCTAACATTTTGCATAATGCTATTTTAATACACAAATGAAAGATGAAAAAATGCAACTCTAAAATGGAATTTTATAATTGAGTCAATAAGAATTTACAAACAATGTGAAATCTAGGACAGTAGCCTTTACAGAATAACAGTTCCTAACTTCATAATCTTATCATTAACTCCACATAAGAAAACAGTATTACACAAACATCCTAACTAGACTCAAACTCCTAAAAAAATCTCTGCAAACCCAAAAGGTGGTAGTTTTGTTCTTTCCTAAACGACTAAGTTTATGTTCATCAATACCCAAAACAACAGTTATATTCTTTCATACAGGTTGACACAGGACCTATAAACATGTATTACATTAAGAACTTACAAGGAAAATCACAAACATTGTTCATAACGTTAGATATGCCAGTACAGCGCTGCACTCATAGCACCACTCAGCAGGATGTGTTATGCTGGGGGCGGTTCATGCTGAGCAGCCATGGGTGGGCTGCACCAACAAGAATTAAGTTAAACAGAGTTTAGACCTAATGAAGGGTTTGTTAACCTAGGATTTGTTTTAAATTGTGTTGCACCACTTAATGTTAATCACAGATAAACAAATTTGTGCTTAAAGCCTTAATCTGTGCCTCAACCAGCCATAATTTTGATTGACAATAACTTTTTTCCATTTTTGAGAGTAAACTAGCTCAAAGCTACATCAGAAACAGCTCTCACAAGCAAAGAGTGAATTCAAATATTTAAACAATCCGTTATTAGACCTGGAGGCTCTGCGTCAGCAGGGGGCACTGTTTATTCAGCACTGAAAAGACTGCTTACAATGTACACTAAACCTGTCTGTAATTTTAATCAAAATATTTTAAATACAAACGCTCTGTATGTTATTCTGTAAGCCACAGTAAAAACTCTATCATTATTTAATTCTTACACAGAATATTGTTAAAGTAAACTTTTAGCCTGCTAGCTAATGCTAGCTAGCCATCTGCCAAGCTGTTCATCCTGGATCAGCTAGTTCAACAAGGCCGCGTTCGTATCTTGAGTTTATTCTGTCTTCAGCTGTTTACTTCATTTACACGTAGTTTAAAACTGTAAAACGTGCATTATTTAGATCCGCTGCTGTGTTTATGTTCTTCTATTTCAGTGATTCACACAAAAGCTACAAGAGTGTGTTGTTTATTTAATAGCGATGATGTGAAGATGATGAAGTCTCAGCTGACACCGTCTTGCTTGTATAAGATGTTTATTACAAAGTAAAGCGGTATCATATCAAGCACCATAAAGTACCTGAGAGGGGATCCGTGCCAATTCTGAAGTGTCCCCTTCAGAACAGTATAGCCTACTGCTTTATATAGGGTGACTGCTTTCGACAAAGGGAGCAGAACATATGGTCCTTCTTAAAATAGTCTCATTCATCTGGAACTAAAAGAGGAAGGGGACCTTGACCCTTGGACCTTTGGACTGGGGGCCCCCTAACTTAAACATTCCAAACCTAGTCAGATAACACATGGAGCTTGGATACTACAAGTGCTAATAGCGCCCCCTTTTGGGAAGAATCGTTAACCAACAGTGAGTTACAACAAAGTCCTTTTAAGTTTTCTATGTTTTATATTAATATAGTTTTACTCAGAGAAGGATTTTATATTCTGCATAGAACACTCATTTTTTAAACAAATTTGTAAAATTAAACCACCAAAATAGGAAGTTTAAATTTAATCCTTGAATGAAGTTTAAATCAGGGGTGTCCAATCTTATCTGCAGAGGGCCGGTGTGGCTGCAGGTTTTCACTTCAACAAAGCAGGAGGTCACCTAATGAAATGTATGAAGACAAAGACCATCTGATTAAAGTAGAATCAGATGAGCTGCAGCTTGTTTGGAGTGAAAACCTGCAGCCACACCGGCCCTTTGTGGACAAGATTGCACACCCCTGGTTTAAAATAACGGTGCAACAAAATTAAATTTAATCTAGATTTACTGTAAAAGTAATCCAGAATTAAAATTATGGTTTAAATGTAATCCTGATTATTTTTAAACTAGGTTTAACGTTTGGTGCTACAGAATTAATAGATAAATCTTGATTAAATCAGAGTTTCAGCTTTATACTTGTTGGTGCAGCCCACCTACATGTTCAGAAGACCTGTCACTCAAATCAGTTGACCAATAGAAAGTGCAGGTGAGCGCCCTTTTCTAAGACCCGCCCCCTGTTAAAAAGTGCCAAAAGTCAGAAGTAAAAGAAAGATTTCTGATGCAAAAATATATCAGCAAAATCAGCAAAAAAAACTCAGACTTGACGGTATACATTAAAACAACAATGTGGGGAAAAAAGTAAACAAACAGTAACAAACTGTAAATATACAGTCAGAACAGATGAATATTAAAGAATATAACCTCTAAAATTCAAATGTAACACTCAGTAACAGTGAAACAGCTCAAAACTCACAATATTACACTCTGCACTGTTTGAACCGACTGGTCAGAATGAACAGTAAAGTGACCTGACTGGAGTCCACACTGTTAATACAAATAAAACCATCTCTGATCACTGGGTTCTCCCACTTTCTCCTCCTGTTTTTCTCCTTTGTCTCTTCTCTCTGAAGGTTTATTCGCTCATAACCTTGTTTTTTTTATTAAGTATCTTCTGGAGACTCTTGGACATGAAGTACGGCCTCTCTGCAGATCCATCATTGCGCTCCAGATCCTCCACTGAGGGAACAACCATTAAATCAGAACCAAAATCAGCCCAGCAGTGAACAGTAACGCTGTAAACCTCTAACTCACTCTCTCACTACGATTAGAGCTAAATACCTAAACACTTTAGGACAAACCCCAACAGCATCCTAACCTCTGTTTAAGCATCCGTTTCTATCATTTTTAGGCAGCTGTGTCAGGCAGCATAGTTCACTACTAGCATAATGAGGCGACATTTATTTATACTGTAAAACGCTGCTTTCACTGTGAGATGTTTTTCTTTTCTAACTCTGCGTTTTAAAAATCTCAGATGCCGCAGACTCGACCTCCACTGTCCCTCTTATTACCTTTGTGTGTTAATGTTGATGATAAAATATTACAGTGATGGTGGTGAATAATGAGGAGACAGAACTGAACGTGTGTCTGTTTATTAGGAGGAATAACGTTAGCACGCTCGGCTAAACCGTTTAGGAAATGGAGACTGAAACTGGGGAGCAGTGATGCTCTGATAAACGGCAGGGGGAGCTCTCACAGTAATTCTCAACTATAGTTTATTACACTTTAGTTTTGTTTGACCTTTTTTCCATCAGTAACAGAAGCTGTAACTTACATTTTTAACATTATTGTGATTAGAGAAAGAGAAAAGTATTACACTCAAAGCCAGGCGAAAAGAGAAAAATAAGAGTGGGGAGTGTTACAGTGAGTGTAAAGCCTCAGCGCATACAGAGTAAAGTGAATAAAACCAGTTAAAAAGGCAGTAGAACAGCGCAGGAGGCATGCTATATTGGATAAAATTACAGCTGGGATGATACACTGATCATTTTCACTTCCAGTGTTCTATTGGTTATATCATATTGCAGCAATCTGCTGCTGGCTGGTGCTGGACCTGAGACTCTGGAGGTGTGGCTAAAGAGATAAACACATGCAAAGGCTCATGGTAGTGCGTGCCCTCCAACAAAGGGACTTGTTTGAGTTGTTTAATGTCATTGTCTGTTAGTTTAAGGTATGTTATGTGTTGTTTGTGTTATTTAGTGTTGGGGTTGTGGGTTTTGTGTACGTGGGGGGTCACCGTCAGAGTAAAGCTGGTGGCTAGAGGTGACCTCCCCCCTCAAGTGTTCTGGTCTGCTGAAAAGGGTCTGACTGCAGAGCTGTAGATTTTTAGGCCAGTGAAATGCATGTGCAGTAGGAAAAGTTGAGCGTTACAAGCGTTCCCATTCATATTGCAACCTGTGGCCACTCTCGTCATTGATAATGTCTGATCTAAACAGTGACTGTTTGTGCTGGTTGTATGTTTTGCCATGCATATTACCATTCAAGAAGGGATACTGCTGCCAATATTATTGTGTGTTCTGCTGGTGTGTTCAATAAAGAGCACTTGTTATTGCAGAATCATGGACACCCCTGTGTTTCTTCTTCTGCCAGTGCTACAATATGTAGCTTTTCAAAGTGTTTTGAAACCAAATGGTCACGCTTTCCTTTCTGATTGACATAAAGTTACTATATTAAACTCTAATCTGGTATATTTAGAGGAAAACAGTCTCACCCACCTAAATATTTGCACCTATATTAAAGCCACCAGCAGAAGTGGCAGCGAACCACAGCAGTCAGCAGAACGTTCCTTTAAGAGTTCCATTAACCATTCATTTTTTTTTGAGAAACTAAATTATACAACCAAATGTCAGAATAGCAAAGAAGGCTTTCACCTTACATAATCAATCAACGCAGCTAAAAGCTGTCCTCTGATGATTATCCCCGGCAATGCCAACATTTCCACTGTTGTCAGCGGTGTCAGTCACGCAGGCACAAAATTACATTTTTGCACGTCATTGTGTAATAAGCATAAAGCATAAGTACAGAACTGATTTATGATCACTAAACCTTTACAGAGATTTTTCTTACTTTACTGTAAAGTAAAATTTTAAAAGATGGTGAGGCGTCCTTAAACGTTTGGCCTGTTGATATTTGTAGCATACTGTATTTTCCTGACAGAAGGTTCTGAGTGCTGCGTTTTCTCTGCCAGAATATATAAAGCTTTAACACTCACAGAAGCACAGGAACAGAGTGTCCACACACATGGCGTAGATGCTGAAGAAGCCATGGGCGATGAGGTAGGTGCCAAACATCACCGTCTAGAACAAACACACACTGCAGTGAAACTACCTGCTAATATTTCTCACAGTAACATAAACACAGCTGATTCAGTAACATTTAGCATCCTGATATACCACAACAACACAGCAGGAACTAAGGATTACTATGGATTACTGTGTTATATCAATAATGCTAATGCTAATAATCCAAGAGAACTGATCTAGAAACAACAGTAGTTATATTCCAGTATAAATAATGCTAATGCTAATTAATTCCAGAGAACTGATCTACTGTACTACCACTACTACTACTAATAATAATAATAATAAAAATGGAAAGCTGATTTTAATTCAGCTGTAGCCTGTATTATTGTAGTATATCAGTAATGCTAATGCTTGCATCTGAACTCACCACAATGGGAACCCAATAGTAGTTTAGTGACCGTGCCTCTTCCTCCACAACCTTTATCTTCCCTGAGAAGAAGAAGAAAGAGCAGACTCCTGACAGGAGAGAGAGAGAAAAAACAGCTAAAGTCACCACTTTTTTTCAAATACTTCAGCAGATTAACTATCATTTCATACCAATTAATCGTGCAACACCTTCATCATCACAAATGTACACTGCACAGCTGGATGCGTTACTCTGATTTTATCACGGGGAAGGGTGTTCTTAGGCATGACGTGAAGCAGAATTAAACCCTCCCTCCCCATTATAAAATCACTGTCATGCACGGCCTCAAGTGGCTTATTGCTTTTATAAAATGTCAGCCAACATAAAATATAATAAAATACACAATAATATAAGTTATTAATAAAGAGATGTCATAAATGAGAAGAATGAGGAAAACGTTCGTTCGTCCATCGCTGTATACTGCGGTCATTTCATGAACTGTTAAACTTTTTCTTATATATCAATGAACATCTGATAACATGGCACTGTTTAATGCAAAAACCGTCATTTCATAAGCACTTTTAGTCACCAAATGGCCACAGCGAGTTAGTACATAAGTACTTTCATAAGCACTTCAATTGAAGCCTGTGACATTAATGATGGAGTTGTCCAGCATGTTTGCTCTCTTTTAGCCTGTTAGCTACCTACTCAGCGTAGTTCTATTTAAGAACGTAAGTTGCCAGCCATTCAGTTCAAACAAAAACCAGGTTCTTACTTCATCAATATACTCAATGGTCCATGTGAGCAGCATGTAAGTCAAAGATTATTTAGTTTGTGAGGAATGGCTCTCAGTTCTATTTATTGTATTTTATTCAGCTGCTTTCGGCACTCACCCACAATCCCCACTATCAGCAGCTTTCCCAGAAACAACAGGAAGTCCGTCACTTTGTCCAGCACAAACACTCTAAAATACAAAACATGAATTTATTATGCAAAAACATCTTTATTAACCATTCAGTTACTGATACTTATAAATAAAACCCTATAAACAAATTTAAAAGTAGAGAAAAGTTGATAGGTTATGCCAGTACAGTGTCAAAATCTTAATAAATTAAAAGTTGAATTATTTATTCAGAAATATACTTGAGTAAGGCAGGATATGCTTCTTTTTTATTACATGTGTAGGAAACTTTGATGTTTGTAACAAGTGCTCTGAATGTCTCAATGAAAATGTAAAGAGTAAAAAAGTATTTTTTCTCCTTTTGAGTAAAGGTATAAACAATCAATAATCAATTTCAACAGTACTTGAGTAAAATATGAATTTTTAATGCTTAAGTACAGTAAAAAGTACAACTACCTAAGTATTTTTCACTCCTGCTGATTATTTTTTTGTAATTGATTAGCTCTGTCTAATCCTGGCTGAGTAACAGCACCGAGTGATGTGTCGCTTCTCTCACCGGACAATGTTCCTCATCAGGAGGAAGAAAGCGTCCTTAGCAGATGTGCAGAAGTTTTTACCATAAATGGCGACCTGGGAGAGAGAATGAGTGATAAATCATTATTAACCTTTAATTCCGAGTTGCAGGACTGTAAAAATCCTACTTAACTAAGATTAGTGCACCACCACTGTAGTAATACATTCACTCCAATACAAGTATAAATAAATGATTAAAAGAATAAACAGATTTAAGAGAAAAAGAGGATAAGAGTCAAAAGTACTCTAACAATCACTCTGAGTTTCTTTAAGGCGTATTTTCCTCACAGAAAGAAGCTCCAACACGCTAAGATCTCAGTGATAATAAGCTAACCCATTAGAACATTTGCTGATATTAGCTAATTTAGCTAACACACTAGCACAAAAACATTCAAACAACAGATTTAGGTTTAATAAAGAGCTTTTGTGCTTGTTAATCTAAAATGTCAAAATGAAAACAAACAAGTAAAAGAACACAGTAGATATTTCGCTAATATTAGCTGTTTCCTCAGTTTTGAAGCTGAGTTGTGAAGCACACTTACTTTTACTCTGTAACAATAAAAATAAAAGTATCATTTAATTACATCCAAATAAACTGTACAGCTTTCTAAGTAGTGTGTAAAGAGTACTGATAAAGCATAGTAATAATTTGCTTAAAGTAAAAGTATTTTAAAAAAAAAGAATGACTAAGCTTTAGAGAAGTGTAGGAGTAAAAAAGTACTTACTTTGAGTTTCTTCAACATGTTTTCCTCACAGAAAGAAGCTCCAATATGTTAAGATATGCTGAGTTTATTGTAAGCTAACACATTAGCTTAGCTTGAATGTTATCTGACATCAGCTAAATTAGCTAGCTAACAGACGCTCAAAATAAAACAGTAGAAGCAGTTTAGGATCAATAGAGCAGTGTTTGTTATTCTAAAAGGTCAAAATGAGAAGAATTAAGTAACACAGCAGCTAGTTGGCTAAGATTAGCTTAGTTGGTGAGCTAAGTGTTTCCTCAGTTTGGACGTTGGGGAAATCAGGGCACTTTACTCCCCATTTGTAATTAAAAAGAAAAAATAGCCACGTTGCATAATTTATTAGAAAGGAACTCAAGTAAAAGTAAAATTTCATTACATTTGCACTGATAGAGGGAAAAACACAGGAACTGCATGAGATGCTAACATTAAATTTCAGTACAGCGGTCGTACCATGATGTAGGCGTTTCTGTTGAGGAACTTGATGCATTTCTCCAAACACCAGAAGCAGCACTTCAGGCACCCCAGGATGAACCTAGCAGCTTTGTTTTCAGCAACTGAGAGAGAGAGAGAGAGAGAGAGAGAGAGAGAGAGATCACGAGGTCAATTCATGGTATTGTATTACGTCATTAGGAAGAGCACGTCTCCATGTCGGTAGGTGAGCTGTAACTGTGTGCTCTGATGGAGCTCGTCTCATCACCGTTACTGCGGATACAGCCCTGCAAGTGGATAAACACCAACAAAACATACAAGAATCACCATGAAAACATGAAAAGATAAGACAAGAAGAAGATTAGCAAGACCCAGATAACAAGAGGATGGTGGGCTACTGTTGGCCTGCTGGTGGCAAAGCCTGTGGTCCACTGCCGTTTTGCTCTGTGTTTTCTGGGTGCTGCTTCTGGAACGTTAGACAAAATGCCACTTTCACAGTTTATTTTGCACTCACACATAATGCACTTATTTTTCTTCCATTTCTTCCTTTTCTTATCCTTTCTGAGATAGTTCAGTAACTTTTAACATAAATGTTTAGTAACATTTTAACATAAATATTATAAATAAGGCCACTTATTCCGCTGTAGCCAATCTAGCACAGTGTTAGCCTCAACATTTTCAGCTAAATTATTTTGTGTTAGGCCTAGTCATTCATTTTTTTCTCTCAGTTTTTTGTAAATATTTGTCTTAGTTTATTTTCTAAAATGAACAACTATGTGCATTTAAAATCTGTTTGAGGAGATTAAAAACTAGTTAGGCCTTGTATGCAGGACAACAATCTGGGTGGTCCGAGGGTGGACCAGCAGTGGCAAACAGACAGCGGGGGTCCTTATCAAACCAGCGGACCAATGTACGCTTGCTATCTGAGGGTTGGTGGATCTGTGTAACCTGCATATCTCCAGAAAATTCCAATAAATTCCAATAAAACTAGAAAAATGGCTATCAAAGCTGCCAAAGCTCTGAAATAATAAACCAATACACAGACATAAAGCTGAAGTCAGCTTCTTATTCACCAGGTTCTCATTTACATTCTCCGTTCCAACTTAAATAGAACAAATGGCTGGCAAATACGAAGTCAACATCAGCTGACCTTAATAAATGCATTAATTTACCTCAATACATGTTTCTTTAATCAGGAAACACCTTAACACCTTGGAGGTGTTTAATGAGCAGCTAACAAGCAGCTTAGCAGAGCAGCTGTTGAACGTGTTTCACTGGCGGATTTAACGCCGCGTCCCAAACACACACTTCTGTACTTTACCTACTACACTGACCGCTGCAGACTGCTGATTTGTCGTAGAGAATCACTAAACACATATGCTAACATTAGCTAACAGGTTAGTGTAGCCTCCTCCTGCGTCTCCTTTGAGTGACGAAGCACCTCTGAAGGCACATTTAAACAAGTCGCTTTCTCATGTTATTTCGTTGTAAGACAGAAAACAGGAGACACTGAAAAAACAGAAGAAACAAGAGGCAGAAAAGGCAGAAAAGCTCCAGCTCACTTTTCAGTTTCTTCTCAAGATACTCCAGGATCACCCTGATCACCTGAATGATGGAGAGGATCAGAGAACCGAAGGCCAAGGAGCCTGTATGATACCTGAGAGAGAGAGAGAACATCATTAATCACACTCTAATCACATGATTTTGTGCTCCTGTTTTTAGCTGTGGAAATGTATTAATAGTCTATGTACGGTGCCAGAAACCACACGAGCATGTTTATTCTTACTTGCCAGCTTCTTAGTATAATTTTCCATTCCACCTTAAATAATGCACAGGTGCCAGATCGTAACTGTTGCACGATTTAAGGTGGGACAAAAATTTTGAATAAGAAGCCAACTTCACTAACACATTACAAGCGAGTGTGTGATGATCAGGCATGCAGTTAGCATCAGCAAAAAAATTAAGTATCAAAATGTCCAAAATATGTTGCAAGCACAAATAATGACAGTTCAAGCTGAATTATCAAGCTTAACTTTTTTAAAAAGATGTTTACTTGTTTTCTCTCATTTTGATATAAATGTTTTACTTATTTTGCCAGTTTTTGCTGTACCTTTCTTCTATTTGCTGATTTTGCTGATATGTGTTTTGCTTCTGGCATTGCTCTTTTGCTTCTGACTTTTGGCACTTCTTAACAGAGGGCGGGTCTTAGAAGAGGGCGTTTACCTGCACTCTATTGGTCAACTGATTTGGTTTGACAGGTCTTATGAACACACTCACCTCAAACGTTAGTGTAGTTGGCTTTCTGCTCGCCAGCTCTGCTAGGTTCAGGATTAAGACTGTAAATTTGAATTGTTAGCAAACTATTGGACCAAGTTTTGTGATGCTATGAAACGGAGTTGGGCAGCAGGAATAGTGAATACACCTGAGGGCCCGTCCGAGTGAGGAGAAGATGGGGAATGTCGGGATGTCAGCCGTTTTGTTGAAGGCCCAGTAGTAGGAGGCAAAGGCCCCGGCTAGGGTCACCTGACCCAGCGCCGTCACAAAGTTCACACACCAGAAGAACATGAACAGGTTATAGAACTGGAACACGATCAGGTACTTATGGAGGAACGTCTCTCCACCATAGAACGCAAACAGACATTCCGCATCCGGACACTGTGCGGAGATGTTGGAGCTGTTGAAGTTCTGTGAAAAATAAATAATTAGTTTAGCTCCACCCATTCAGACTACAGCAGTTTAGCTCCACCCATTCAGCCTACAGCTGCAGCAAAAACAGTCTGTTAATTTGTAAGAGATTTGGAAAATGATCATGTAGAAATTAATTATGGTATATAAATTCACAAACTTTACAAGAGCTAGTACATGTGTACTGTAGAAATTATTATGATCATTTTATTATTATCAGTTCTTAATAATATTATTAAAAGTTGTTTCTGGAGACTGACCTGAGGGTTGCAGGTCTGTCCAGAGTATTCACACTCTGTGGTGTTGAAAACTTTATAGATCGGCTGATTGGAGGTGGACAGGAAGCTGCAGGAGGCGGTTAAGGAGCAGCTGGAAGTTCCTCTATAGGAGCACTTTATATTTACATTTGATTACTTTGAATCATTTGATTACTTTGTAATATAAACTTACATTTTGTACCCAGCTTTTATAAGTACTATGTTCCATCCATCAATCTGTCTGTCTGTCTGTCTGTCCATCTATTCATTGTCTCTGTCTGTCTATCCATCGATCTATGTATCTGTCGGTCTGTCTGACAATCTGTCTGTTGGTTGAGTGAAAGTGACTGAGAGTGATAGTGTTGTGTCTGTGAGGTTAGTCAGTTGTGCTATAAGAGTGTGTGTAACTCTGAGATGGATATGCAGCGATGACGGCCCAGTACGCAATCACCAGAGACACGAGGGCAAAGGTCAGCAGAGGGTACAACAGCGATGACATCATATGAGTCAGTACTCTGAAAAATAGATGGGATGAAAACTACAATAACACAACTTTAACAAAACTATAATGATAATAACTACAATTAATTCATAATTATATTAATGCTGAATTAATTTATTTTAGTTTTTTTTATTTGTTAAATTCAGCAAATAAATTTGCTCTACATTTTGCAGAAAAATGTCATATGTAAAGGTGCTCTCTGTAGAGGATGAACTTATTTTCACTTAGAAAATAAACACAACATGGAATCTCACATTTATGCCAGCAGATTTTTGAAAGCCAGTCAATGAACGCAAATTTGCGTCCTTGACCAGTAGCCCTGCTGATTTGGCTGTGTTGACCCTTAAAGGGGTGGGGCTTCATATAGCAGCACTGAATTTCCAAAATAGAGGAATTGCTAATTTTAGCGGCATTTAATCAAAAACCTTTAGACAGTTCATCACCACTCACTATAAACAGTCACATAAAGAGAGACTGTATGATACACAGTCTGCCTCTATACTGTATTACTATGGTTGATTTTGTGCTTTAATCTTACAATAGTAGCCTAACTCTAATGTGTAATGGCTACTGTAGCCAACCACATCAGATGGGGGAAGAACATGGCTGAAACCCCTCCTTCTTCCAGTATAACACCCTATAAATTCACATCCTCCCCTTTTGTTCCTGTGACGAAGGGTTCGCAGTCTTGCCCACCACCCCATCACCTTCCTGTTCCTCAGTGCTACATCATTCCTGCTACAGCTATGAGCTTTGTGCTTACCTGCTGGCCTCTTTAATGAGAGCGATGGCGATGACGATTCTCTTTCTGAGGAAGATGAGGATGAGAAGGATCACCAGCTCCTCGATACCCAGGATAATTGCTGAGAGAGAAACACACAGACTGAAAGATGAGCTAACCACCATATGTAATAATAATAATATTAACAATAGTAAAACTTATATTTATAATAATAATAGCAACAAACTCACTGAAGGCCAGCCAGGTCTGCTGGATCTGCAGGTAGATGAAGAAATCTGTCTGCAGCCCGAGATCCTTTAAGGTAACATCTGATCCAGCTTGGCCTTTCAGAGCTACGTACTGCATATAACAGTGGAAGGTACCTGAGAGAGAGAGAGAGAGAGAGAGAGAGAGAGAGAGAGAGAGAGAGAGAGAGAGAGAGAGAGAGAGAGATGGGGGGTTGATTTTGTGCACCAACACTATCATCATACCCCACTGAATGTTGCTGAGTTCATTTTCAGTTTGATTTTACTGGTAGATACATTTCATTTAAAGGAAATCATAAGAAGTTTTCTTACTGAGGTATGAAAACAGCCTGACCTACAGCAAAGGAAACGTCCTCACCATAACCAATAACGAGGATGACCGAGATGATTATCACCCAGATTATGACCCCAGCCAGAAAACGCAGAAGAACAATGAAGACCATGCTGAGCACCATGGCAATTACTAATCCACTGAGAGAGAGAGAGAGAGAGAGAGAGAGCGAGAGAGAGTCAGACAGACAGAGAGACAGACATATTATGCAGTGTTATACAGTGTATTAGTGTGATACGCTATCACATAATGCTTTGTTGTATGGTGTTCAGTAGTATACAGAGTTATGCAGTCTTATGGAGTGTTTTTTACAGTGTTATACAGTGTTTTGGAGTGTGTCATGCTGATGTTGGTTGGTGTGTAATGGCTGAGAGTCTCACAGCAGGATCCAGCGCCAGCACTTTGTGTAATCCTGAAAGATCCTCATGGCCACCTGCTGAGCTTTTACAATGATGTCGGACTTCCTGCAGAAACAAAAACATTATTCAGCTTCTCACTGACCGTTTAACACTGACATTCATACACACACACACAGGTACACACGCAGACACACACACACACAGACTGACTTGCTTGTGGCATTTAAGTTGGCGTTGACAGTAGTGTTATCACCAATGACAACTGTGTCACTTTCTGTCTTCTGCAGGGTTGGGAGACACCTGTGCATAACTACACACACACACACACACACCCCATCAGACTCCGGCATATGAACAGGTCAGATCAAAGATGCTGATGCAGAGCTGAATAACTCACTAGGCTCGCTGCGAATGATCACCACCGGACACATTTCATCTTTTGCAAGTTCAAGAGCCGCCTGTAAACGTAAAAAAAATAAACAACATCAGTGTCACCAAACAACAAACTCAACACAGCTCAACTCAACACAACTCAACAAAACAAAAAACTTAAACAACTCAACACATCTCAATAAACTAACCATAAATAAATAAATAAACCACTCAACCATCCCAACACAAATCAAACAACTAAGCACAACTCAATCAAATCTACACAACTCAAAATAAACAACGCAATACAATTAACTGAACACTACTTTACATAGCTCAAGCAACTCAACACAAGACAATTACATCAACTAAACACAACACAGCTCAATCAACACAACTCAATCAACTAAATACAACAGAACACAATTCAATACGCTCAATCAATTGAACACAACCTGATAATTCAAATAACTAACAACTCAACAAATCTCTATCAAATCAACACAACTCAACACAACTCAATCAACTAAACACAACTCAGCACAACTCAGTAAAGCTCAACAACTCAATCAACTAAACACAGCTCAACACATCAAGCAATAAAACTCAATCAACCCAACATAACTATCTCAACCAAACACAACACAATTCAATCAACTCAACAAATCTCAATCAAATCAACACAACACAACTTAAATAAACATAACACAATTCAGCACAGCTCAATCAACTCGATACAGCTCTACAAAACTCAGTGAACTCTACATAACTGAACTCAATCAACTCAACACAACTCAATCAACTCAACACAACTCAATCATCTAAACACAACACAATCAACTAAACATAACTCCACAAATCTCAATCAAGCCAACATAACAAAACTCAACCTAATAAACACAACTCACCCCAACACAACACAATACCACTCAATTAACTAAATACAACTTAACTCAATCAAATTGATATAACAAAACTCAATCAACTCAACACAATCAACACAACTCAATCATCTAAACACAACACAATCAACTTAACATAATATAACTCAACAAATCAAACCAACATAACACAACATAATCAACATAATATAACTCAACAAATCAAACCAACATAACACAACTCAATCAAATAAACACAACTGAATATAACACATCTAACTAAACACAACTGAACACAATTCAACACAACTCAATACAACTCAATCAACAAAACTCAATCAACTAAACACAATCAACTCAATACAACTCAATCAGCTCAAGACAACTCACTCAACTAAACACAACATAACTCAGTCAACACAACTCAATCAAATCAACACAACTCAATACAACTTAACACAACACAACTCAGTCAACTAAACAATACTCTACACAACTTGAGTCAACTCAACACAACTCAATCAAATCAACAAACTCAATCACCTCTACTCAATTTAATCAACTCAATAACTGAATAACTCAGGTAAACTGCATTCAATTCTGTAAGATGTGTAAGAGGTATTTTCTCAGTAACATTGTGTGTGTGTGTGTGTGTGTGTGTGTGTGTGTATGTGTGTGTGTGTGTGTGCATGTGTGTATATGTGTGTATGTATATATGTGTGTGTGTGTGTGTGTTTAACTCACCAGTTTAGTGTTCACTCCCTTCTTACAGAACTGTGAGTAGTACTGCATGTCCTCTTCTCTCAGTTTAGCATTCAACAGCGTCAGCGACCGCTCTGGACATTTCTCCACACAAATCTACACAAACACACACACACACACACACACACACACACACACACACACACACACAATATCTTACATCAATAACAATATAACTGCTGCTGCACATGGTAGTTAGGCTGACCACAACACAGTGTAATCACAGAGCAGGTAGGGTGGGCTAATATTGTAAGAGGGTGGGGTAATGAGTTTTATGTTGGGGTAAATGAGTATTACCTGTGTGGTGGGGTAAAAGAGTTTTTTGGGGGGGTGTGGTAGTACCTGTGTGGTGGGACACTGAAACTCCAGCAACACCTGCAGACTGACACACTTCAGACCATTAACATAAAACAGCAAGGGCTTCTTCCTGCATACACACACACACACATACACACACACACACACATATACACACACAGAGTGAGGATTGACTCTCACCGGAGAACTAGTGTTTTCACTGAATTAAACTGTGAGAGTCAGTGTGAGTGTGTTTTAGTGCACTCACTCCAGTGGGGTTCCCTTCTGACCACAGAACTGCCCCCTACTGTCTGTGGGGTAAATCACCTTCCGCAGGTCCCCCTGAGTCCAGGCTGGGGGGTGGTGGGGGATGGGGGGGCATGTGTTTGGCATTAATAATGAGTGCAATTATGTACTATTGGTATATGATTACTGATTGCTCATTGTAAAGCAACATGCAACACTATTGCTATCAGATGGAATATTCTTCTTCCTTCTATTATCTTTCTGCTGATTTTCTGTCCACTAACTCATCCTGCAGTTTTTGAGGTATCGACAACTCCAGAATTTTCAGTCAATGGTGTGCTTTTTTACAGATTTTTGATTTCATACAATCATTGTTAAATTACGATTTGTTTTCCCACAAAGAATGAATGGGGTGCAAAAGTTTGTGCACCCAACTTATATCATGATGACACAAATTCATTTATAACACCATATTACCCATGTGGGTACAATTGCAACCACCTAGCAAAATCCTAGCCACCAACTGGGATACCATAGTAACCACTTAGCAACACCCTTGCAACCACCTGGAATTCCATAGCAACCACCTAAATTGCCATAATAACCATTTGGAAACACCCTAGCAACCGCTTGAGAGCTGCTTAAGCTGCAGAGTCACTCTGCATTTTATTGCAATTATATTGTTTATTCACTTTCAAAATTTCTTCTTCACCCACTCAGAGTAGCTCAGAGCTTTAATACGCTAAAGAGATAGATAGATAGATAGATAGATAGATAGATATGGTTTATTTATTTTACAGATAAAAAAAACTCACCCAGATATCCAACTGCCAAATAACTCAGCATGGCCAGAGTGAAAAGCAGACAGCAAAGAACATCAGTACAGCTCCTACACACACACACATACACAATGAGTTACACACACTATGCTGAGTTATACACACTACACTTAGTTATACACATTACGCTGAGTTACTCACACCGTACTGAGTTATACACACAGTGCTGAGTTATACACACAGTGCTGAGTTTTACACACTGCACCAAGTTATACACACTATGCTGAGTTATACACACAGTGCTGAGTTATACACACAGTGCTGAGTTATACACACTGCACCAAGTTATACACAGTACACTGAGTTATACACACTTTGCTGAGTTACACACACTGCACCGAGTTATACATACTACACTGAGTTATACACACTGCACCGAGTTATACACACTACGCTGAGTTACACATGCTGCGCTGAGATATACACGCTGTGCTGAGTTATGCACACTGAGCTAAGCTGTAAACACTGCACTGGGTGTGATGGTGCTAGTGTGTCTTTGTGACTCTGAGAGAGGAACTGATCTGCAGCTCACACTAACACTGAGTTTGTGTGTGTGTGTGAGTGAGTGAGCATATAAAGGTCAGTGCAGTTCTGCTCTTTAACCGAACATCTTCACAGTCACTCAGAAGAGCCTCTGCTTAAATTCCTAACAATGAACAAGCTGCTGAACTCAGCACTGAACACAACAGTGTTTAAATTTACAGCATTCAAACGTCAGTCAGCTGTACTTTAATAAAATACACCAACCAGCCAGTTTATTAAGTCCACCTCCCTGTATACAAGCTGGACTGCAGTGGCCAGTCGGTGTATAATAACATTTATAAAAAAACAAACAAAAAAAAAAAACAGTAAACATTGTTTTAGTGTAAAATGCTGATCTGGAGCATCCTAACCAATAACTGTGGTTGCTGGTGTTAAATTAAGAGCATCATTTGTTCAGTTTGAGCTTAGGGCGGAGTATTATAACCAAATTAGAGCTGTTTTATAATGGAATTAGAATTGAATTACAAATTATGTAGAATTAAATTAGAACAGAATTGAAACAGAATTAAAACTGAATAAGAATTGAATTAGAAATATTTTATAATTAAAGTAAAGTACAACTGCAATTGAACAGCAATAGAATTAGAACGAGTTCACTCAATTAATATAGAATTAGATTTGAATAGGAATTGAAATAGAAATAGCTTAGAACTGAACAGACAACACTTCATGTTGTTCAAAGTGTATCATCTGTGTGGTCAGCGGTGTGACCGGTGGTCTAACAAGTTGTAACTTGATGTTTCAAACATTTTATTGTGTTTCTAATGTTAATTAAGTACAGACTGAGCTTCATATTCTTACTAACACTCTGATAAGCTGATTTAGGCTCTTAAAATATCCCAATTATTCTTTTAATGCTGGTAATATATTTAATAAACTGATTTAGGCTGTTAAAATCTCAAACGTGCACTTTTATGTAGAGTGCTACCTATAAATATGCACTACGGTAGGATATTTTGACAAGGTAACACAATTTGTCAGAACACCAGAGATGAGGCGGAAACATTCGACAGAAATGAGAATTGAAACAGGAAAATACCTCTTACAGCAGACTTAAAGCACAGATTATGAACTGTTACTACAGCGTCATTGAAGTGAATAACAGTCTCTCTCACCTGTCGTGAATGAGCCCTTTAAAATTAGGGTCAAATGTTCGGGAGTCGCCTGCAGAGAAAAACAACAAACTTCAATTCATTCATCTTAATGTGTCAGTATCTGATCAATACAATGATCAATACAGTATAAACACTGCAGTGGGAGCTCTAATGCAGCCTGATAGCCGGTCTGTGTGAGTGATATTGAGTGATTGCTTAAATCATTGAGTAGAACCCCTCTGAGTGAACAGTTCTAGATACACAGAACTGAATTCACTGCAATACAGACAATATAGACAACATATACAATACAGACCTGTATGTCTGATATTAACACCACATTCATCTGCCCTTATCAGTATAACTGTGTTGTCTCCACTAGTCTCAGCTTTAGCATTATGGGCTGTTTTAGTTAACCTTTTCTAAAAATGAGTTAAAGTATGAATTAAAGCTGTTTACCGTATTTTTCCTTTGCCATCACTGAGGACTGATTTCTTCTTGCTGTATGAACACTCACACACCTCCTCACTTCCTCCTATCTGACAGGAAACTGTTTGTGATGGCATGTTTGTGTTCAAGCTTAAGTTGAACACACTTCATATCCAACAGCTAAATTTAGTCTGACAAAGAAAAAAATGACACAGAACGTTTGTACACTGACATTTTGTATTTTTGTATAAAAGGCTATCATTTGAAATGAAGTTTCCAGTTTTATTTACACTCAAATTTGTACTTTATATTGTTTTGTTGAAAATCAGTAATCCCATATGACCAAAAGACTGAATTTAACAACTGATTAAAATAAATAAATAAATAAATAAATAAATCCCTTTTACGTCCATGCTTTGATCAGTTTAGAAAACTTTCTTCAGATTTGGGTTTAGAGTTAACAAGTGTTGTAATAACATAAAAGGATTTATGTCAGTTTTTTTCCGTCTTGTCCAAAATCAATAATGATCAGGAAGTTCAGTTCTCTCACACGGTCACCAATCACGTAATCAACAGTGGCTTTCTGTTCAAGCTCCCAATTGCATTTTTTTTCTTTTTATTGAATACAGTCTTTAACTAAGGCTTTGCTCTTTCATTTGTCCTTTGTACAATTTCACAGTTTAGCTCTTCATATAAAAGTATACCGAGGAATCTTCAAGTATGAACACTCAATAGAAGCTTATTCTAGTCCTGCAGTTAGACATGTCTAATATACAAATAAATAGTCACAAATATGACAAATATCATTATAATCAACACACACACACATATATATATATATATATATATATATATATATATATATGTATACTTACCACATTAGCTTTATTACTCTAATACACAAATGCACTGACACATAAAATAGACTTAAAGCTTTCTCAATACTTCACATAAACTCTCTCAGCTCACTGTGGATCCTTAAGCTCTGTTCAGCATTCTGTTCACAATACTATTGCCATTGTAACAGATTTAAATGTGAAACCAAAAGTAAACACCATCAAAATTACTAAAATTACTTCTTTTTTTTCCTAACCAGTTGAGCATTAAATCAATGAAGGCCAACTGCCAGTGTAAACTAAATTACAGCTGCAAGTCCCTCAGTAAATGCTAACAGTAACTTACTGAGGCTCACTGAACAAAATGGCTAAATGCTAGCGGAGGCTCAAAGCTTGTCTACAGAAGCCAACCGGCTAATGGCAGCAGAGGCTATGGCTTACTTATAACAGCCAACTGGCTAAAGCTAACGGAGGTTAAAGCTAGTGGAGGCTATAGCTTGCTTATAAGGGCCGACAGGCTAAAGCTAGCTGAGGCTATAGGTTGTTCATACGAGCTAACAGGCTGAAGCTAGCAGAGGTTAAGGCTAGACGGGCTCCAGCTTGTTTATAAGGATTAACACGCTAGACTTATTAGAGATTGTAGCTCTTACTCCTTTTAGCGTTAGCGATATGAACTTTACAGTCCCTAAAGCATTAGCTACCAATTTATCTAGTTACTCTCTCCAAAAGCAAACAGAACCACCATAAGCTATTAGAAGCTGAAATGTTTTTAAAACTTGGTAAAAGAACAACCAGGCCATGAGCGTCTGCCATTTCAGTTTTTGGATGGCACATACTTCACAAAATCGAACTATTATTTACACATACTCAATGTTTCTCACCACCAAACAAACTCTTCCTATTATAGGTCCCTTTTAACTCAAAATATAGTTAGTGCTCTTGTGAACTTATTTCATTTCCCTACCTAAGACAGGATATATAAAGAAGGAGACGGTGAGACAGTGGCTTTCTGTTCAAGCTCCAACTTGCATTTGAGAGGTTTTTCCTGAACTGCTCAAAGCCACAAACTGGTGTCTGCCACTGCTACAGCGCCCCCTAATGGCAGGGGTTATTCTTACCCATACATTAACATAAAGAAACTGTCATGTCAAATAAAACACATATACATTTACATATATAAAAAAAATTAACATAAATGTGAATACACCTACAGTGTGTCACACGCTCCCGACAAGATAAAACCCTCTCTATAACAAAGCTATTCCCAACTTTCTAGTTGCTCTTAATATTCTCCTAAAATGTCTTGCGTACTTTTTTTTCTTCTGATTCCTATTTCAGTATCCTAATGACGGACACAGGTACAGTGTGTGTACAGATGGCGAGTAGTTTGTGAATGGATGTGTCGGGGGACCTGGTATAGTGTAGGGTGTAGTGTGCCCCACCAAGGTCTAGTAGGTAGGCTGTAAATCATGGCTGAATTAATAGTGGGGTGAGGTTGTACTGAGGGCTGACCTAGTGTTGGGTATGTAAGCATTTTCCTTGGTCTTCTATCTCTAGTGGACCATCTGACCTCACAGCCAGTATCTATACACCCGAAAGCTTCAGGTTTTTCAGGTTCACTTGGAGTTTCAGGTCTGACTTCCAAGTCAGCTAAGTTTCCCACCACTCATTGATGTTCCGTTGGTCTTTGTTTTTCTCTTGTAGGTACTGTTAACCATTCTTTTTCTCTTACAGGTGCTTGAGAATGTCCTGCAGGTGTTTGTAGCTGTATCTCTTCCCTTTCAGGTACTGGAACCCTCCTGAGCTCTTCCTGGACTGGGCACTGTGGATCAACGGTAGGACCCTTCTGGTAAGTATTGTTTTGTCTTTGCTCTTCTCAACTGGTTGGTACTCTGAACCTGTAACCTGCTGGCTCTTCCTCATCATCTGAAGCGCTTGTGTCCTCAGTATATGTCTGTGGTCTTTCGTCTCTTTTCACTTTCCTGTTTCTGGGTTCCAGTTGTTTCCCACCAGTGCGCTTAACTGGGCATTGCACTGGTTCTGTAGGTAGGTCATTTACTTGCAGGAACAGATTCCGATGGAGAGTTCTTGTCTTACGACTGTCTCCAGCTTCTGGGTAGATTATGTATACAGGGTTATCAGACACTTGTTCTTTGACTATGTAAATAGTGTTCTCCCAGTATGCTCTTAACTTGCCAGGTCCTCCCCGCTCACTCAGGTTCCTTACAAGGACTCTTTTGCCTGGGTGCAAAACTACTCCTTTCATCCTCTGGTCATAATATGACTTTCCTCTTGTTACTGTTTTCACAGGCTATATGGTAGGCCTCCGCCATTCTCCTGGCCCATTTTTCTGCATAACTCTGGTGTGACACGTTTTCTTCTTTGCCCTTCAGACCAAATAGCAGGTCCACCGGGAGACGGGGGGTGCCGCCCATACAAAAGAAAGAATGGTGAGTACCCCGTGGATTTGTGCCTGGTGCAGTTGTATGCATGCACGACCTGATGAAGACGGTCTTTCCACCTTTCCTTTTGCTCCTCTTTAAGTGTTCGCAACATCTGCAACAGCGTCTCATTTTCGAACTCACGACCTTGGTCATGGTGTAGCTTGGCTGGATATCCAAAACAAGGTATGAAATCGTTGAAGATACATTCAGCTGCTGTCCGCCTAGATTTGTTCTTAGTAGGATACACCTGGGCAAACCTGGTGAAATGATCTACTACCACCAAAATATATCTGTACCCTCCTTTGCTGGATTTGAGATGCAGGTAGTCGATACATACGAGTTCCAAGGGGAAGCCAGAGGTTATGCTCCCCATTGGTGCTCGGACGTGGGTCACAGGTTTCTTTTGTTTGATACAAGAACACTTTCTGGTGATATACTCTCCGATTTCTCTCTTCATAAACGGGCAGTAGAATCTCTCCCTTGCAAGCCACATTACCCGCTTGGTGCCAACATGCCCCATTTCATCATGAAGGTGTATTAGAACTATCTGCTTGTATTTTGTCAATAGGACAAGTTGTCTCTGTCTACTAGTCCGCCTGTACAAAAGTCCTTCTTCAAGATGTAGCTTATTCCACTCATAAAGAAGTTTCCTGGCTGCCCCAGCTAACCCCCTTTTTGCTTCACAAGGTGATATTGTGCCAACTTCTTTAAGCGCCAAGATCTCCTTGATCACTGGGTCTTCATGCTGTGCCTTGGCTAGCTTGGCTAGCGGCTATCCAGGCAACATCCTTCTGTTGGGCTGCTCCACTCCCCTGCCAAGTGGCACACACAACGTGCTGGGACAGCTCCTTGCTGCATCCTGCGATAAACTCCTTGATGTCAAGTAAGCTACGGGATAGAATGTCAGCATCCACATTCAACTTCCCTGGTCAGTATTTTATGTCAAAGCGAAAGTCAGACAGTTTCCCAACCCAGCGTTGACCGACCGCGTTCAGTTTGGCTGTGCTCATCACATATGTCAGAGGATTGTTGTCGGTATACACTGTGAAGTGAGGTGCATAGTATAGATAATCTCTGAACTTTTCGCACACCGCCCACTTAAGCGCGAGGAATTCCAATTTTCCACCGTGCAACCTGTAATTTCGCTCTGCTGTTGTTAATGTTCTGGAACCGTATCCAATAACTCTCAGTTTTCCACCTCGGTCTTGGTATAGGACTGCCCCAAGGCCCTGTTCCGAAGCATCTGTGTGGAGTACAAATGGGGAGTCAAAATCAGGGTATGCCAAAACTGGTGGGTTCGTAAGCATGTCAATGAGCTGTTCCAAAACGTCTTAATGTTCACGCGTCCAGCTTACTGCCATCCTGAATGGCAGCTGGGGCCCTTTAGTTTTCCTTCGCATGGGCTGACCCCGCGTCATCTCAGACTTCACTTGTAGCAGATCATATAGAGGCTTAGCAACTCGTGCAAAATCCTGAATGTAGCAGCGGTAACTGAGGAATCCCAGCAGCCTCCTGACATCACCAACAGTTTGTGGGGTCTTGTCTCCCAGGGCCCGCACAGCTTCAAGGTCTTTCGGGTCGATTCTCACCCCCTCTGCAGATACAAGGCAGCCCACATACCTCACTTCCTGGAGGAATAGTTCACAATTTCCTGGCCTCAGCTTTACTCCATGCCACTGGAGTGCTCTTAAGACGTTGCGGACCCCTTCTACGTGTTCGTCAAAAGTCTTTGCATAACAAAGGACACTGTCCAAGTAGGGAATACAGCATTCATCCCTGAGTCAATCTAGCATCTCTTCAATGCTCCTCTGAAATGCCGCAGGAGCGTTGGATAGCCCGAATGGGATCCGGACCCATTCGTAAAGCCCCCATAGTGTTTTGAAGGCGGTAAGATGTCTGTCCTCAGCCATAAAACCCTGGTGGTAAGCTTTGCCTTGGTCCAGGATGCTAAACCAAGAATGTCCACCTAGAGTGTCAATTAAGTATTGGATCCTGGGCAGCAGGAGTCTGTCTGGAACAGTTTTCTGGTTGCAAAGTCAAAGTGAGCCATCCCTCTTGCGGACGCACACAACGGGGGCCGAATAAAGAGACTTTGACTTCACTATCCACCTTTAGCTAAGAGATCTTGAATGTAATCTTTTACTTCCTGAAAAAGGGGTTTTGGTATTGAAGAATACGCTCTTTGAACAGGAATGTCGTCTTTGAGACTCAAAGTCATCTGCAGACTGGGAATACACCCCATATCATTGTCATCTTTAGCAAATGCTGCAGACTCTTCATAGAGCATTTGTTTGACCACTTCTTGTTGTTCGTCACTGAGGTGGTTCAAATCTACTGGGGGGTGCCACAGTGGCGACTTCACGTTTGCATGTGAAATGATGTCACGGTGGTCCTGCAGGCCACAGTTTAGCTCTTCATATAAAAGTATACAGAGAAATCTTCAAGTATGAACACTCAATAGAAGCTTATTCTAGTCCTTCACATAGAAGTGCAGTTAGACATGTCTAATATACATGTAAATAGTCACAAATATGACAAATATCATTATAATCAACATATATATATTCTTACCACATTAGCTTTATTACTCTAATACACAAATGCACTGACACATAAAATAGACTTAAAGCTTTCTCAATACTTCACGTAAACTCTCTCAGCTCATTGTGGATCCTTAAGCTCTGTTCAGCATTCTGTACACAATACTATTCCCATTGTATTAGCTCTTTTCTGCTGTGACTGTACTACATTCATTGGACTTGACCAAAATACTGAACCCAAACAGATTTAAATGTGAAACCAAAAGTAAACACCATCAAAATTACTAAAATTACTTCTTTTTTTTCCTAACCAGTTGAGCATTAAATCAATGAAGGCCAACTGCCAGTGTAAACTAAATTACAGCTGCAAGTCCCTCAGTAAATGCTAACAGTAACTTACTGAGGCTCACTGAACAAAATGGCTAAATGCTAGCGGAGGCTCAAAGCTTGTCTACAGAAGCCAACCGGCTAATGGCAGCAGAGGCTATGGCTTACTTATAACAGCCAACTGGCTAAAGCTAACGGAGGTTGAAGCTAGTGGAGGCTATAGCTTGCTTATAAGGGCCGACAGGCTAAAGCTAGCTGAGGCTATAGGTTGTTCATACGAGCTAACAGGCTGAATCTAGCAGAGGTTAAGGCTAGCGGGGTGAAAATAACAACCAGGCCATGAGCGTCCACCATTTCACAGTTTTTGGATGGCACATACTTCACAAAATCGAACTATTATTTACACATACTCAATGTTTCTCACCACCAAACAAACTCTTCCTATTATAGGTCCCTTTTAACTCAAAATATAGTGCTCTTGTGAACTTATTTCATTTCCCTACCTGAGACAGGATATATAAAGAAGGAGACTGTGAGACAGTGGCTTTCTGTTCAAGCTCCCAATTGCATTTGAGAGGTTTTTCCTGAACTGCTCAAAGCCACAAACTGGTGTCTGCCACTGCTACAGCGCCCCCTAATGGCAGGGGTTATTCTTACCCATACATTAACATAAAGAAACTGTCATGTCAAATAAAACACATATACATTTACATATATAAAAAAAATTAACATAAATGTGAATACACCTACAGTGTGTCACATTAGCTTCAGGTCGCTAAGCTTTTCGGACTCTGAAACTGTTCTGTGTGGGCGGGGCAAGAGACGTCAGTCCTGTAATTGGTCAGGGGAATGCTTATGAAAGTGTTACCCAAGATCAGGACCGGCCAGTTTACATCGAGAGGAGAGAAATATGGTGGAATGTATCGGTCACTTATTGGTCCTCAGAACATTATTCAGTGGATTTAATTAGTACATGTTTGCTGCTTACTTGCAAGAACAAGATTGAAACATGATTAACAAAATTAAAACAAAATGTTGCTGTAATCTTAAACAGGAAATCAACTGCTAAAACTATGTGACCGCATTCCTGGAAACATTACAACATGGCAGCTCTCAGCTTCTTGTATCCTCTCTGTGGGTAGGTCTTTTTGAGAAAAGACGTAAACATGCATGAGTACTATCGAGTGTGGCGTGAGAGCGAGAGGATGAGATCTGAATGTGTGTCAACTGGCAGCCCTGTCTGCTTAGTTTCACCCCTATAATAACCACATCTGTAATTTTGTACTGTGGCGTCAGTGTAGAGTGAGAAGACATAACGCAGCGCTTCAGGCAAGGGTATTAAATCACGGCAGCAGTAAGAACCGCCAGCGTGTTTATACTTAATAATCTGACAACTGCAGAAAATCAGATTGTGTCAGTAACTGGTTCGAGCGTGTTTATACTTAATAATCTGACAACTGCAGAAAATCAGATTGTGTCAGTAGCTGGTTCAGTGTGTTTTCGTGCTTTTGGCTAATCAGATAATAGAGAAACTCTGGGTCTACATGAGCCAGATTTCAAAATCAGATTCAGAATCAGATTTTTCTAACCAGCCAGTAAACTCACAGAATAA